ACTCAAAAACGGATAAAGAAAAAAACATTAAATTTTAAACTTAAGGTTTATTTCGGCCTGACGTGAAATGATTAGATTTTGGACAAAGTCGGAACATCTGGGGGGGTACTTTATGGGAGGCCGTTTTTATATTTTATGGAATATATCTGTTATTTATGTTTGGAGAGGAAAATTGTTCAAATAAAAGTTACTTCTAATATTATTATCTGTAATTTTTGTTATATGTAAAAATTTCCTGAAATGGTCCGTATTCGAGAAATTTGACAAAATGTGCAAAATTCTGATTTTTATTATGAAAGTTTTTGAAATAAAAGTTGTTTGCGATATCGATCTCTATAATTTTTGTTTATACATGATTTTTCTAAAATGGACCGTATGAAAAAATTGTAGGAAATTAAAATTTTTCAGTATTTTCGTTTTCCATGAATATCTATAGAAAAATGTTTCGAGGTAGATGTATGTGGACAATGTATATATTTAGTTTATCCTCTAAACATTTATATAACTAGATAGGAAAGTCATGTGTTGGACACATCAGATTTTTTTAGATAAAAAAACAAGCATAATCAAAAACTAAATTTATTAAAACAATATATATAATACAAATCCAATATTTAAAAAATGTAATGTATATGAAAACTCTATTATGTATGAAGTAGATGGATGGCTGCTACATATTCCAGAATACAACACTGCCCCTCATTTTGTGAAGAATTTTATCTGTGAAACAGGAAATACAGTATAAGTACAGTCTCATTAAAATAAATATATTAATCAAAAATTATAAGTCCGAGGAATACTTTTCTTTTTGATAAGTCCAGCATCTTCTAGGATACAGCTTTGCAATCTCCAACGTCATGAAACAGAAAATACACAGTATAAGTATAAAATAAATGAGTCGAGTACAAACTTTCCTTCTTGAAAAGAAGTCCAACATATTAGTTTGTTTCTACTTCTACGATACAGCTTTGTACGTCCCAAGGTCATGAAACAGAAAATATAAATATAAAATAAATGAGTCGAGTACTAACTTTCCTTCTCGAAAAGAAGTCTAACATATATGAATAAGCTGTTTCATGGTCCAGGAAGGTTACAACTGTTTTGCACTAAAAAAAAATCTTAAAACGAACACTATACTATTACTACTACCACCACCACCACTGCTAAATTTTTGGGTTTTGTTTTTTTTTATTTTTTTATTGGTACTTTTGCTTCTAATTAGACTACTTCTACTACAATTTTTTTTGGATTTGGTTGTTTTCGTATTTATACTACTTCTACTTCCAGAAACTGTTGGGAGGAATAGCGTTGGAAATGCTTCAAATATTAAATATCGACAAGAGTCAAATACTTTAAACTTCTCTTTAAAATGTTTATGACATACTACAAAGGTGGAATAAATTTTTTGTAGTCTTGTTTTATTACTAAATTTTAAATATCAAATAAATCAGGTGAATTCGTAGGGTGGGGCAAGCGATGCATCTTGTTGTCCACATCAAGGCAATTCGGTACCCAAATTTTCTATAATTAAGCATCTTTATGGAAAAAGCACAAAATAACAACGGAAAATGCACAAATTTATAAAGGGAAAACAAGCTTACAGTGGTCAATATAAACAACATCACTTCCATTTCAACCAAGACGCCATGACATTCCCCACAAAAATCAATATTCACCTGTCATCTGTCATGTACACCATACGACTGCAGCGTCATGAGTGGAGGTGGTTGCGCATAGAAGAGGTGTTTCCCCCTCCTGATCTTGAATGTATACTGCCCTCCCTTCAAAGACGATTTCTCCCAACCTATCCCTCCCAGTCCCAAATCATCACAGTTGCAAAAAAGCTTTATAGAAAGTGATAGTTACGTCCGTAGGATGCGGGAATTACATAAAGAGTTAGGTTAAAAGTTTTTGGCTTTGGACTATGGTGCACAACTAGCTCATAAATGGTACTACGTTTACTTATCGTCTTCGAAGGAAGCGCAGTATATAATCTAGATCAAACTTCACTTAAGGAAAGTTCGTCTGATCTTATAATAATATTAAAAATAAGATAGGTTTTAGAACAGAACCTAGAAGTACTCCATATTATACCTAAAAATGGATATCTTGCCTTTAGATAAAAAGAATTTGCGTTTTTTCGGTAAAGTTGAATTAAGGTATTGGGTATTATTTATACAGGGTGTTATTGAAATACACGTACATATTAAAATGGGGAATAGTATGTAATGACCAAAAACGATTGGCACCAATTTTAACTTCAAATTCTAAAATTTAAATATTGGGGAAGAGTCCCCTTTTCCGACCTACTAGTTTCCATATTTAAAGAAGTAAAATAAATCGAAATTGAACTTACCCATAGAAATTGCACTGTTGCCGTAGCAAAACCAATTAATTCAAAATAAAGTTTATTAGAGTAATTGTTCAAAATGCCGTCCATTATTATTTACACACACTTGCAATCGTCTTTCCAAAGAACTTTGAACATTAGAAATTAGTCTTGGATTTTGTCGTAGTTCCTCGGCTACCGCATTAACTTTATTGGTTAATTGTTCAACACTATTAATAGGTTCATTATAAACCAGTTGTTTCATGTAACCCCACAAAAAGAAATCGCATGGATTTAAGTCCGGAGATCTCGGAGGCCACTTAGTAGGTCCATTTCTGCCTATCCACTTTTGAGGAAATCTAATGTTCAAAAACTGCCGTACGTTTAAATCAAAGTGAGGAGGAGCGCCATCTAGTAGATACTACATCCGTTGCCTTAATTGTAACGGTATCTCTTCTAGGAGTACTGGCAAAATATCTTCTAAAAAGTGGAGATATCCTGGCCCATTTAATCTGTTCGGGAGAACATAAGGCCCGATTAAATAGTGATCTATTATGCCAGCCCAAACATTTATTGAAAATTTTCTTTGATGCCCAGTTTCCCTAATGGCGTGAGGATTTTCATCACTCCAAATATGCGTGTTGTGCATATTGAACACGCCATCACGAGTGAATGAAGCCTCGTCAGTATACAATAATATTTTTAGAAAATCAGGAATATCAACACATTTTTGAATCATCCATTCACAAAACTCCACTCTCTTTTCTTCATCACCTGGATATAAGGCCTGGACTTTTTGGATGTGATAAGGATGTAAACCTTGTTCTTTAAGTGTCCGCCAGACAACAAATGAGGACACTCCAATTTCAAGACCTAGTCTTCTACAACTTAATTGAGGCCGGTTTTCAACAGCTTCCAATATTTCTTCTTCGGCCGCCAATGTTCTTTGTGTTCTTGTTCTCCCTCGATCTGCATTGACACTCTCAAATTTTCCATGGTCTCTTAGATGCTGAACAGTTGAAATAAACGTACGACAGTCCGGAATTCTCCGATTTGGAAACCGTTCGCGATACAGGATTTGTGCTTGCCGAGAATTTTCTCCAGCTGCCCCATAAACCAGCACTATGGGGTCTATTCTGTAACAATTCCTTTATATTTAACGGCCTTTAAAAATATTGGCGGCCTCTAAAAGTATATTTGTATTCGTTAATTTACTTCTGTCATTATTTAAACAGATTTCTTTAAGATAGTCCTCTAATGTATTTTAAAGATCCGTTTAAATAATGACAGAAGTAAAGAAGAAAATATTTTTTAAGGCCGTTAAATATAAAGGAATTGTTACAGAATAGACCCCATTATCCGTTAGTTCAATATTCGTAAATAGTGGCATCGTAAAAAAATATTTAAAAGTAATCGTAACAACACTTTTTACCAACTTGGAAATGACGCGCTCGTGTTAGCCAGATTCGTAAATCAACTAAAATTTTAATAATCTATAGTTTCAAAAATGTATAGTTTAAAAACAATCATTTATCAAATATTCTAGTTTTTTGATAACGAGGGTAGTAAAAACCAGTCTTCGGAAATAGAAATTAATTCGAAAATCTTGGCAACATGGTTATTTCTTACAAGACTAGTTTTCTTATCATCTGACAAAAACTTGCATATTAATTACTGTTGATGTTTAAAATAGGTAAATAAACCTAATTTATATAGGTCATCCTCAACATATCAGTGAAGTACGTTTGTTTTAGAATTAATTTTCAAAAATTAATAACTCCCTTAATAAGGGGTATTTTTAAAAAATAATATTTTTCTACATTCAGTGGGGATCTGCGCAATACCCAGTTTTAATATGTACGTGTATTTCAATAACACCCTGTATTGTATTTTACAAGTTTTGCCCGACTCAATCAAATGCTTTCCTTAGATCGCACGTACTAATAAAAAAAATTTCTGTTTACATTGGTTTGGTTATTATTCAACATATTCAAGTATTGCATGTGTGTTAGACCAAATTATTCAATGGTAAATAATTTGTTCTATTCAAAACAATCACAAAAACATTAAAATAGGTGTGTAGCAATGTCTTTAGGATCTGTATCTCTATCTGTAACGTGTGGAGGGTGAATAACCTCACGGTACTTAGGCCTCATTATACCCATTGTGCATCCTCCTAAGATGATAGGCACTTCCGATCTCGTGAGCTAGCCTACAGATTTAATGTAGTTGACAACATCGTCAAGAGGTGCTTCTCTTATATCGGACGGTGTTAGCCGGTACTCGCAGAATATAAATATTCTCATAAATGAAAGCGTCGAGCAATAGTAAAGGATATGCTCGATGGTTTCATCTCATGTTCACACCCTCTGCAGAGTGCGGATTCTGACAGCCCCATGATATGGAGATGCTTCCGTACTTGGCAATGACCAGTGAGAATGCCTGTGACTAAGCGCAGGTTCTGTCTAGTCATAGTCAAGTATTTGTTTGCGGCAGTGTTGTCAAGAAAACTTAATAGCTCCCTGGCAACTTTGCAGTTTCTTGTTTGTACTGCATCATTAAATGATATATTTATACACCTTCAAACAAGAATAAATTAACTGTACTATAAAAATACAGATAAGTTATATTTTAATCTCTGTGACTACTAGTATCAGTACTAATGAATGAATTCTTTTAAACAGTGAGTAGGTACCAAAGAATCCTCACACTACAAAATGACTACATCAGTGCTGCTTTTAGCATACAAATTAGAAAAAGAAGGTACTTATAAATCGTTTTTCAACGATCTAGTCAAAACAGAACCACCGCAATGGCATCTTAGTATTTTGGTGTTCAATTTTGAATATTCTTACTCGAACAGGGGAATTACTATACAAAAAATATACGATAAGCCCACCGAAATTACTTACATGGATTATACGGAGGTTACTAAAAAGCAACTGGACCATTACGTGAATATAGTACTACCGGAATGTGGTTGGACCAAGGAGAATTATGATATTTCTGAAAAAAATTGTCAACATTTTGTTCATGTCATTTTGGGATTCTTAGATGTAGACGAACCCGTACCGAATTACTATGTTAAATCAAGAAATACATATGTAACTTCTTATAAAAATATTGTGTTTTCCAAAAAAGATCGTAGTACACGAGAATTTTCTTCTTCGATTCCAGAAACCAGTGTTAACAGCTCTGTTGTAAAAATGAGTAATTTTATGACACCTGATTCAGTGAAAAGTTTCAGTATAGAAAATCAAATTGGAAGAGGATTAAATTCAAATAAGGTAAGAAAATAGTTTTATGTTATAAAGACGATTAAAAAATACTATCAGTATTAGGAAGAAATTTTGTTGGATGTATTGGAGTTGATGAAATGGAACACATACAGGGTGGCTACTTTTTATATTGAACAGTATTGCTATCTCGAAAACAGTAAGAGTCACAAAGTCGGTTGAATGAGAAAAACGTTGTACTACTGTAAGACTAATTTAGTAATGTTTTAAAACCGAGAACATCAGGACGGTTTCCAAGATATTTAATGAAAACCAAATGACTCTATTTTGGATTTTCGATTGTATTGCTTTTATTTTACAAATTAATAAAAAATTGTAATTAGATTTTTTATTTGGTATTAAGTAGCGCTTAATTTACCGTAGATAGATTTTTATACAACGTTTTGTTTGTGGAGGGCCACCATCAAGTCTATTTTTTGAATACGGACTTGCATTTTTTATTCTATTTTATAAAAGTACATTTAATCATAAATTCAAACGTCTAATACACATTAGTAGATTAGGACGTTTTTATTATTGCTATTACAAGGTCACTATAAATTTTATTGTTTTAATACAGACCTGTATTTTTATTATGCTTTTTTACTTAGATTACTACCAAAACTACACTACTAAAATTATTTTTAAATTAATCGCAGTATCGTTACATCTGCTTCCTTTACCAAAAATTTAATAGGAATCGTACCTGAGCCATACCTGTTGTGTAAAAGAGGGATGGAGGTTAATGAGGAGCATTTTTTTCTATTTAACAATCCAGAATTTGTCAAGGTAGATTTATCTTTCCGTATTGTCAATCTATTTTTATTGAAACGAATAAAAAAGTAAACCTTAAAGAATTACTGTAAAATGGTTTTATAATCTATAAATATTTAAATAAATAACAAAAAAACCACAATATCAAATAGATAAAAATTGTTTTCTATTTTTTTTTGAATGTATCATTACATTTTTTTGTATGTTTGTATCCAGTAGGTCTTGAACACAGATGCTTATTAAATGTTACAAATGTCAGTTTATTTAAGTTGTTGGCTTCTTTAAAGTGTTTTGACTTTACAAAATTTATTTAACTAATAAATTTCTCGTCATGGTCCGACACTGCAGGAGAAAAAAAAGACATGTACGATATTTTTATTAAACCTAACAGAAATGTTGATGTAGCAGTTCAGGCATTCGCCAAGAAATCATCCAACAAGAAATACTATTTATGCGGTATCTAAAAATGCGGTATCTAAAAATTTAAATGAAACTGCACAAAAAAAAAGGTGTACTATATTCAAGATGAATGGTCTTATTTCATTGCTTTGTTGTGTTTGCATATCCACAAGTAAAACTCGTCTCGATTTTTAAAAAATTTTATTTAATACATATATATAAAAAGAATAAACACTTTCGAAATATATAAAAATTAAACCGATCGATGAAATGTTTATAATGATCTCTTGCAGCATAGCAACGGCGGTCCTTTTATACTGCGTTCCAAATCCGCCTACTTGAGTCTTCTTTTCATCCAGAAAATCCTGTAAAGGTTTACAAAAGAAAACATATCTTAATTAACAACGGTGACGTTATTAAAAAAGAAGAGACCAGATGGTTGTCACTCCAAAACATTGCATATAACCAAAAAGTAAAAATAATGACATAAAACGTCAAACATGAAAAAACAACTGAAATGTCATAAACAAATCTGTTAAGTTCTTTGTGGGCTCGTCAAACAGGACGCGAGCACCACAAACTGTTCCAAGAAATGTTAATATTGGCTTTGACATACATACAGGGTGTTAAAAAAAAAGTGTCACAAAATAAAACGGGGGGTAGTATGGGCCAAAATATGCAGAAAAGTCTTTGTAAACATATGTCCGCAAATGAATGGTTTCAGAGATACGGAGTGTTTTGTATCATTTTTTGATTATCTTTTTTCATTCTCAAAAACTTGCTTTTCTTATCGGAGTCTACCGATGTTATTTCATAGATACTATTTGCAGTTATTATTTTGTTGTGGGTGAATAATTTTATAAATTTTCGTTATGCCTGTTTACACTAATATTGAATTAGCTGACATGCATTTTATGTACGGTCGTGCAAATGGCAATGCGAGGGAAGCGCTACGTCAGTATATCGACGCTTTCCCTAATCGCCACATCCCTTCAGTTCGTGTGTTTGGAAGATTGCACCAAAGATTGCGTGATACAGGTAAATTTGGGAAACAGTCACATGATTCCGGGAGACCAAGGTCGGTGTCCACCCCTGAGGCAGAAGAAGCAATTTTAGCACGAGTAGAAGAGAATCCAGAAACTAGTGTGCGAAGAATATCAGCGGAGGTAGGAATTGGGGCTCCTCTGGTTTGGAGAATCCTCCACGAGCAGCAGCTTTACCCGTACCATCTTCAACGAGTGCAAGCTCTGAATGCACCTGATTATCAAGCACGTTTGGAGTTTTGTCGATGGTTTCTGAGAAATGATGCTGAGGATCCCAATTTTAAGTCCTGGTCTGATTCGAATGGACTTTGTTTCAACACCAGTAAAACTGTAGCATTGTCTTACAGAGGTACTTTACAACCTATAACTTTAAACAATAATCTGATCCAAACGGTGACTTCAATCAAGTTTTTAGGTCTTTATATAGACGATTCTCTAAAATGGTCTGCTCATATAGATACCTTAGCAAAAAAATTATCCTCCTCATGTTTTGCCATTAAATCGGTTTCTAAAGAGCTGACTCCTTCTACTGCATTAATAACCTACTTTTCCTTATTCGAATCTCACCTTCGCTATGGTTTACCTTTCTGGGGTTCTTGTAGCTTATACCTTTTCGAATCTATTTTTAAACTGCAAAAAAGAGCATTCCGCTATGTATTTGGTTTAAGTAGTAGGACACATTGCGAAAATTACTTCAAAAATTTCAAAATTCTAACCCTTCCTGCTCTATTTATTTTCGAATCCGTCTGCTTAGTTCGCAAGCACATTCAAAATTTATCCGAAAGACCGACTCGTAGATATCCTACAAGAAATTTAGAGACTGATGTTTATTTAACAATGCCCACTTCTGACCTATTAAAACATTCCATTACCTACAATGCCAAAAAATTGTATAATAACCTTCCGATGCAATTAAAATCTATAAATACATACGATAAGTTCCGAAGACTGGCTAAAGCTTTTCTTCTAGAAAGACCATATTACACAGTAGCAGAATTTTATAACGTACCTTAGACATTTGAGTTCCACATACAATGGCATTAATTAAATAATTAAATATTAAAGTTTAAATTTAAATTTAAATTTAAAAATTAAATTAGAATAATTATAATGACGGATACTGCATATCCATTGCAATTGTTATTCCTATTTTGTCTGTTTGTTTCTGTTTGTTTTTTCTGCTGTTTAGTTATTTTTATAATATGTTTAGTATTTAAGTTACACGCTTTGTCTATAAAATTTTTGTAAATTTTTTTACGACAATAAAGCATATCTCTCTCTCTCTCTCTCTCTCTCTCTCTTTATTGCACTATTTCTTTTTACTGATGAGGCAGGGTTTACACGAAATGGAGTTTTTAATTTTCATAATTTGCATATGTGGGCCGACGAAAATCCCCATAGTATCGTGGAATCCAGGCATCAAGTTCGTTTTTCATTAAACATTTGGATGGGTATTTATGGCGACTGGTTACTAGGTCCGATTGTACTACCTAACCGATTAACGGGAGCTGACTACTTAAACTTTTTGCAGAACACATTGGGTGATCTTTTAGATGACATTCCTTTAATACAAAGAAATCAAATGTGGTTCCAGCACGATGGTGCTCCGGCGCATTTTTCAGTTGCCGTAAGAGAACATTTAGACGGATCCTTTGGTTGAAGATGGATAGGAAAGGGCGGACCTGTGCCATGGCTTGCAAGATCGCCTGATTTAAATCCGCTTGACTTTTTTCTTTGGGGACACTTAAAAAATTTAGTGTACGCCACTCCTGTGAATAACCTCGAAGAGCTGCAGCAACGAATAGAGCAGGGATGTCATCGAATCCTAGCCAATGAGGGTGTTTTGGAAAGGGTCCGACAGTCCTTTCGGAGGAGATGTCGTAGCTGCATTGAAATGGAGGGAGGGCACTTTGAACATCTCATTTAACTCTATGTTGTTATTGATTGTTTATAAATATCATTGTTTTTTATAATAATAAAAAATTGTTATAAACACAAAATGGTCCGTATCTCCGAAACCGTTAATTTGCGGTCATATATTTATTAAGACTTTTCTGCTTATTTTGGGTCATACTATTCACCATTTTATTTTGTGACACTTTTTTTTTAACACCCTGTATATTGATTTTGGTTGAATTATAGGATAGTTTCATTGAAGAAATTAATAATCTTGAAATAAGAACAGGCTGTTCTTTCTTTTTAATAGGGTTCTCACAGGTACCTATCCACCGAAAAACATTTTTTAAAATTGGTTTAAGTTAATGTAATAAATTCCTCTGTCCTCTGAGGTGTCCCACTTATAATTAAAAAAAAATAATTTTATAACTACAAAACCTAAATGGAACATAAAAATTTGTCCTGCTAAGAGGTCGTATCTACAAAATGGATAGTTTTAGTAAATGTGGGTAGGTAAATAATAATTACGTCCTTTTAGACTTCGCAAATAAGTTTTGCAATTTTTACTAACCTTTTCTTAAAATTATAGTAAGTATTTTCTAATGCAAGTAGGCCTTTTATTATTTTGTGTCATAATAAAATAAAATGTAAGCTTATTAAATTTGTAAGAATCTTAAAATGGTAATTTTCGTAGATACGACCTCTTGTCTTAGCAAGGCAGAAGTCACTTTCCAAAAAGTCGTCATTCAGCATCATACATGTTTTTTACTTCTATTCATGTTTGTTTCGTGTTCTTATGATTATAAATTTACTTATATATAATATAATACCTAACAAGAAGTGAACTAAATATACTCACATTTAAATATTGGTATCAGGTCGCTGAGGGCCATCTATCTAACAAATCTTCCATTTCAATTAAATTTATTCATACACTTATTAATTGAATCACAAAGAATTTCTAACAAAAAGTAGAAGGCAACCCTAACGATACGATGCAAACATTTTAAAAAATGGACAATAGGATGAACACGTGCTAATGCCAATTTGCCAGATTCTCTATAAATGTGCTGTATCTCTGACTTCCGAATAATAACTATCACATCTCAACATGTACCAGTCATATATCTACCTATCAGTGCAGTGGTTGGCATTTTAAAATAAGTTACAGCTGGCTACACCATGCAGTGATGTTGTACTTGCTAATCTTTTGTAAAGTACATAGATTTTTGATTCGAATTGTTTAATTTTTGTTCTGAAATTTAAATGCTTTGAATCGAATCCTTTTATAACATTGAATCAAGTAAGCGATAGTGTTTTAAGAGCATATTATACAATAAATGTAAGAGCTTTCTTGGATTAATTAACAATTCTAGACTCGAATGAAATAATTTATTCTCAGAATGTTAAGGACATCCTTTACTTGGGTCAATCGCAATATGATAGTGTGGAGACTCCTGGAAACGTTCAGATCCGCTCAATATACCCACTAAAACACCTCTGGTCTTTTTGAGTAGCTGCTCCTGGTACTGCTGTAGGCATTTCTTCTGGAGAGCAAAGTTTTAGTGGTTATGGACCTTTACTTGTACATCTAGTGCTCTTGCATTCTTCTCTTTCGTTTCTATGATACGTTTTGCGAACTTACTAACGGTATTCCAGTTTTTTCTTTTCTAACATTTTGTTTAGTATATTATCTGATGTTATCTTTCCCATTCTGTTTTCTACTTCAGTTCTATCAGCCATCCATCTATCGCACTCGAAAAAGGTATGCTATGGCGTGTCTTCGATTTCGCAGTATATACATTCTTCATTACATGCCACTTTAAATCTGCATCTGTATGACTGAAAGCATCCGTGGCCAGAGAATAATTGCGTAAGGTGTTATTTTATTTCTCCATGGATCTAGAGTGGGTATAAGTCTTTTCGTCCATTGTTCGATGTTTGTTTCTGCTTACCATTCCTCTTGTTACTTTTGTATAGTTCTCTCAGTCGCCGTTCTTCTTTCTATTTTCTCTAGCATAGCGCACCCTTCTTTTACTAGAAAATATATGGGTGGGTTCTGGCTATCATTAAGGGCCATTTTCCGCCTCAATTTTTAAGCTAAAAACAGCGGTTAAGCTCGTGCGCAATAACAACAAAACTAATAGATAAACAATCTATTGACCCGCCTTCATCAAGTGTGAAATTTGCAACGGCCCGCACCCCCCTGATAATTATAAGTAAGGGATCGGTTGGAAGATGACTCTTGATAGCGCTTTTGTCGACGCAGTCCTATACCAGCTCGTTATTCTTATTTCAACTTTTCTTTGCACCCTTAGTATGTCTTTGTATATCTTTCTTTCCATTTACGCAGTGTGTTATAGGTGAGTAAATAATTTTTAAACTTATCTTTTTCTTTGTGTGCCGCCAAATTTTAAAATCGCTAAAAGTGTGCCGCAACAAAAAAAAACGGTTGAGAATCACTGAGTTATAGACTGTGAAATGGCTTAATGAGTAGGGGCTAAAATATTTGAAGCTGATTGATATTAATGAGAGTGGAATATTGAATGTCAGCTAAACGTTCTTAGAACAACACGTTGAGCCAGAAGAAGGTAGTATATTTTTTCTATGCCCAATGCCAATAACGTATTAATAAGAATGGGAACATATTTCCTATTTCTCATCTATGTTTCCTCCAGACCATTTTATTTATCTCTGATTCATTAGGATGGAAGATTTAACGCAAGAATGTCCCGTTTTTATTTGCTATTTTTAGCCTATCTTCCTTCTGTTCGCATGGAGGAATTTAGGTAATTGGCCCTTTAACTTGTTGCTTTTTCGATGCATCTTTTTAGTTTGTTGTGGATGTATAATAGGTATCAGTTAAAGTAGAACAAATATTGTTAGATCAGTATTGATCCTACTATTTCGGTGTTATACAAATCATTATAGGAATATAGCACATACTGACTAAATCTTTTCTATATTCTAGTTTATACCACCAAACCAACCCTCCTTCTCCTCCATATGGAAGCCGCAACACGAAGATTTAAAAACTCTACCAGGTGTCAATTTCCTTCAACCAGAATATGCAGCACATTTTCACTCTCATGCTGTTTGGCCACCGCGCCAAGTGGAATATCAACGTCCATGGCCGCGTAAAGTTCACGAATGTGAGTCACACTGTCAGGTGAACAGATCCGGCTTCGGGAAAAATTTAATGCCCAGCTCAGAGTCTTTTTGGTCAGTTTTTTCGCGTACAGGCAGATCCGAAGAGTGGCCTCTATTTTATAGTAGAGAAGTGGACGGTAAATTAAGAAGACTAGAAAATATTTTTTCGAAGAATCATACGAGGGGTGGCTAATATTTAATGGAAGAATGTTACGGAAAATGAAATGGAGGTAAATTATGAAAGAAAGCGACAATACTGCTCATAATAGGGCAGACTAGGGACTATAAGCAAAAGACAGGTATATATGCACAGTGGGAATTACGGATTTGTTGCTTTGTTTTTTAATTTACATTTACATAGTATTTATTTTGAATTTGGAATTAATTTTTGTTATGTTTTTGTTTCATAATAATAACAAAATTGTTTTATTAATTTTGTATATTGTACCTTTGAATATATTCTATTTTATATTTGCTATTATAATATTTAAATACGCCAGCGTTTATTGCAATAGAATTTTAACGTCTTAATGACCTGAAAAGTACCATAGGCTGTTTGTAGACCTTTCATCGTAGATGAGACCTGTTCTACACCTTTAAGAAGTCCTACCTCATTGAGATAAGTCATTTTATATTATACCAAGAACTATTTTAAAATAGATAGCTTTAAAAGTTATTAGAAAGTTATCAGAAACTCTTGTAGATTAGAATTTGGTGTTCCCTTATCTATCCTTTATTTTTCGTTTAAATTTATTAGCATTGTTTGTTTCCGTATTTTTGTCAACTACTTTTATACGTAGAAATATGCGAATTTAAATACGGTGAGGTCTATTTCCTAATTTCAGACTGAGTTGCTACTAGTGGCCCATCCACGACCCTTATTACAAATCTTTAATCACTAATTGTATAAACAACATTAGCGGTAACAAAATATCTCATAGGAAGGGCTTCATTAATTTTCGCAAATTCGCCACCCCAGAATAGTTAATAAATTTTGATGACGTCATGTTTTTCCATTTCAATATTAATATTAAATCAAATATATTGTAACGGAGGAAATTATAAATTCGTTAAACTTTCCTGGTTTAAAATAAAGAGATTCAACAAGTTTTAGGGATGATCAAAGTTACAAATCTACCATCGAAAATAACAGAATGTTTATGAGGCATTTTTTAATTTTTACTCTTGTATAAAAAACACCCTGTCTATCAAACAGGAAACACTTCTGTCAGTTATAATTAATAATTTTTGACATGTGTGCCAACACAAAAAAGTTATACAATAAAATTCAAAATTAATAAAAAATTGGCAACTAATCTATTAAAAAAATTGTAAGAAATTATTTACATTTGATTCTCGAAATATTTGAAAACATATTTTAAATATACTCACCTAAAATTCACCAATTTGTGATTTATTTAAGTCTCCTATTGGTCAAAATTTCTTCAATAGATAACTTGATGAAAGATTTGAATCTAATTTTGGTTACCAAGGGGTTTTGTTGAAAAAACAAAAAGGGGTGAATGGAATTTCCAAAGGGAAACTACGTTTCTTTTTCTTTGTCCTGAAACATTTTGAATTTTTTTATCTATTTTAACAAATATACACACAGAATCAACCTTAAAAGTAAGAATAAGTTGCAATTAGACGTCTGAAATAAAATTTAATCTAAACAAAGTGAAACGCGAGTTTTAAATCGAAAAGTAAGAAAAAAATACCTGTGTATGTAAGTCTAAGAAAATAAAACCATGGCAACCGATGAGTGACGTAGCAGCTCCTGGCGACGTTCAGTGACTTATATCCCATCCAAGGAGGCCGCTCACACATAAACCCCCAGATAGATCAACATAACCTAAAATAAAGCATCTAGGAGGAAAAACTTTCACGGTCATGAACTCTACCGAAAACAATTAAAAAGGTATAAGACAATTATTAAACTGCTTAAACTAAAAACTAAACAATCACTTACCATTTATTTTAATTTCTTTTCTTTGTTTCCCATTAATATCTGTTAGCGCCCAGCGTCAATGTTTACGTTTACTATAAATCTAAATAATTTGCAACCCAACGAACATTAGCGCAGAGCAAACAAACCTGTCATCTGTGCCTTTTCGCGCCCTCTTCAGAACCAGACCAAAAGCTTGCAAATTATTTACGTAGTAATCTTTTTAATTTATCTAGTAATTTTTTGAATGAGTGTGTTTTATGAATGATAGATGGTGGTAGGTATTTAATAATTAGGAATTTTTATGTTAAGCTCCTTTTTGATATCTCTTTCAATAGTTATTGGTTTACAATAAAAATGTGTTTAAATGTTTTTTTTTTGTTAATTCTGTGTTTAATTTTTTTAAATAGATAAATAAATGAAGGGTAAATTCTATTGGGGTAGATTAAAAAAAAATATAGTCAATAAACTCAAGACAAAAGGTAAATTCAAATTTAATAATATATTTTTTTTTAAATAATTAGATTTATAAATAATAAATTATATTTTTCCATCACATACACAGTGGCGCCGGGCAATTATAAAATAAAAAATAATTCGTAAAACATTCTGTTATTTACGAAAGTAAATTAATGATTGGGGTTGTGTATAAATTAATAATAATATAAAATTTATCCACATACACATATGCACACACCCCATATCAATATCTTCCAGTGTTAATAAACTACATTCATTTACTTATCTTTAACTTAAATATAGAATAGTAGATATTTTCCCGCTTTGACCTGCTTTATCTCAAATTAAATTTAATGCATCTCTGCTCATCTCCAGGAATAAGGATAACGAGACCCGAATCATAAATTTCACCCGTTCGCCATCCCATTCAGGTAAACAATGTAGCTTTCCGATCTGGATGGATCAGTCCCGCCGATGACGGCGTCAGCCAGCAGTGCTATTTCGAATTTGGAGGTTGGCGTCCACGTAATGGAGAAGCATTGTTACCAAAGGATGGTCTGTCACCCGCACGGACAATGCCTCCTCCAACGGGATATATCAAAGTGTTAATTGAAGAATAATTAATTGAATGAAATGGGCTGACGCCTCTGGACGTCCAGACGGACCCTTGCATCATTTCGTCGGCTCAATTAAATAAATGTACATGGAGATAACGTTGAAACGGACTAAGACGAGATTAATGTGCGTTCTGTTTTAGATAGCGGTCTTCATACTGGAATTGTATCGGATAATCTTTGTGGCTGTTTCAGCACAGTTATTGTTTGGGTTAAAAAGAGACATTTTCGTTATAGGAGTGGACTGTATTTATTTTCTCTGAGACAATTGTATACAACTAATCTAAATAAAAAATTCTCTCTTAAAGTGATTATGGGTCAAAAATTAAAAATGGACGACAGAGTTGATGCGAAGAAAAAAATAACCTCGCCTCTGTCAATTATTGAGGGAATTTGAATAAACAATTCAAATTAAATTAAAAAAATATGAACACTAAACAGATTGCAGGTCTACTGGATGAGCTTTTTACAAAATTAAATTATCAACAACTAATTTGATAATTGCATAAGTATAAAAATATAATCAAAAACATTCTTTTAAAATCAATATAAGAGGTAAATATTTATTTCCACAGGTGTCAACGATATACACCATCAAATACTATGAGATTTAAACCCGAATCGCCGAATTTAAAGTCCTAAGCTCTGCCCATTCCTTTATTAATGGTATTAATTTATATACATCATTTTTATAAATCTAAATATTTCGTTTTTAGCTAAACCAAAAATTGGTCATTTAATAGGTGATTTATAAATTTTCTTCGTATTTTAAAAACTGAAATTTATCTTTTTTTGAAAACATGGATCTAGCAATCAGTATGTAGGTATATAGAATTAATAAATACAAATAAACAATCTCGTTTTTAAAGAGTTTAAAAAATAAATAATTATGTAATTACTTATTGCTTTATAATGACTATTTAAATAAAATAAATAATATGACTATATTATTTTTTTGGTACTAAAATATTGATCTTCCCTCGTTTCCGTATCCAGATAGAAATTATTTTACGCTAAGAACTCCGTGAGTAGCAAATAACAAATGCAACGGATCGATAATTCATTTTGACGAGTAGATTATTTTACCAAATATTTGACTACAGGCATTACTGGTTAGGCAGTCCCGCAGTACAGAATTCGACCGCTAATCCTCTGGACACTCTGTACTTAATTTTCTTTACCTTAATCTTTATTTCTTCTTCAAAAGCCTTTTCTGCAATTTTTCTAGTTTCATGGTTATGGAAACATGGTTAGATTGGTTAGATTATATCTGGGCAATAATATTGTGTTTGGGCATGTTAAGGGCAAATTATACTAGATAAGGAGGTTCAGATATTTCAAAATTTTTTAAATTTCATATACTGTGAAAACTGTAAAAATTACATGTAAAGATGATTCATATTTAAAATACATTAACTACTTTCAAAGCTGCTGTAAGTACCCGTAAAATGTACTTAAGTCTCAAGTACAAGTACTTTTGAAAATTGCGAGTAAGTACCAGTACAAGTATAATTACATCTATTTGGTATTTAAATACCTAGTAATTAAATTCTAAAATTTAAGTACATTAGCCTTAAGTACATAAAAACGTACTTATGTACTTTATAGAGTAGTTAACTTCTGAAATATACTTCAGTACAATGTAGGATAAATACATTGTTTACTTAAGTACATATACAGATATACTTAAGTATATTTAGGTTTAAATAAGTACTTACAAAACACTTAAGTACATTTGTGTTTACTTAAGTATATAAAAATAATAGACAAGTTATGCTGGTGTGAAGCTTAAAGGCCTAAGTCAGCTCAATTTAAATTAAAATATCACTGCTAACCGGGATTAGTAATATTAGACATTAGTAATAAAGTATTTATTAATAAACAGTTCATATTTTACATACAATTTAAAAATAAAATAGTAGTACAAGGTAAAATAAATATTCTTTTATTAATAAAATAAAAGAAGAACAGAGTACCACAAAAACTTATAAAACACATCAGTACTACTATTAACAAATCTATTTGGATCTTGAGTCTAAATAATTGCCATGTGCTTTAAGAACGTCTAGTTTTTCAAAATTATAGTCGCTCAAAGCATGCCTACGTGGCGCAATAACAATTCCAGCAAAAGAAAAAGTCTTTCGACTGGTGCGGAAGATGGCAGGATCGTATTGTATTTAATAAAAACTAACTTTATATACCTATAATCGTTTAGCATGTCTAAATTAGTTCTACTGTCGTTTAGGTATTTTAATGCTTCTAATTCAGCTAGGGAGTTAGAAGTCATTGTGCTGGTATTTGGTATCGGTAGTTTACTTAATAAAGATACTGACTCTCATTCTTCTTCCTCAAAATCAAATAA